CTACCTAATGGGCAACATATGAGCTCAAAAGCTTTTAATCACTTGGGAACGTTCCCTCGTTAGTTTACTTTTTCAGCTAAATTTCAAAACCATCTTTATCAATAATATCTAATGATGGTCTTTTTCCTAAATATTTTTGAACTCTACATGAAAAATCAAATTAGAAATGATCGTTTTTAGGAAAAAGAATGTTTTTCATATCAATTTTACCTTATACTTACATAAAACTAAATCTATATTTATTTATAATTGTTTAAGATCGTTTTCTATAAGCATTGCGTACATGTTGCCATAGTCAAATTATAAACTACGTGTAATCGATATTTTATTTTAGTTCGGCAAATTAATTAGTTATTCGTTATTCGAACAAATAATGAAATAGTATGAACTATAGAAAATATGTCGTATATAGCAAAGAAGAAAAGTATACAATCCTATTCATGTATTCTAATCCTATATTCGAAATGTACTGATAACAAGTAACTTTCATCGAAACTTGACTCACTCAACCCTAGATTGACAAGATAAAAATATGCATATAGGTGTGCCTTGATATAAACTTGCATTAAGTATTATATAAATACAAGAGATGACTTGATATATAACAGCCCCATTTGTTTCACAGAATCAATTTTTTTTGGCTATGTAAAATGTGGCTGCTATGTCAATAGAGAAAAATCAATTTTGAATATGCTATACTTGAATAATACAATTCAGTTTGACTATGCAATATTATTGGTTTTTCAACCAAAATTTTTGGACATTGTACTGTTGTTACTATGTTCGTTTTTGTTCTCTAATACTGTTCTCAAAATTTTGTTTTTAATCTTAAATGTTGATGTTATGAATAAAAGATATGCTATATATTTGTTTATTAAAATCATAGAAATCAATACAATTATTTATAATTCGTCATATATGTGCTATTTTAATTACAAAAAGAAATAATATGATTTTCGTTAATCATAATCTTATGTTCAGACTCATTCTCTAATTATTAATAATTATTACATCATATCCTCATCTATACAGTTGTGAACAATCGATCGAATCATTCAATAAGTTAGTAATAATGATCATCACTTCTCAAGATGTCCTAAGTCGAACAAGATCTCTTGTAAACAACCGTAAATGGTTGTATTTTAGTGTATTGCATGACTCAGTATAACGATTGTATTTCTTCGTATATGGGTTTTATATTCTTAGTAATGAAATGCTCTTCCTCAGTCATTTTCAATTCTAATACGTAAGTGCCCTTTTTTTTATTATCTTATGCAGTCACTTATACCATGGTAGTCATAGGTATCAGATAGCTATTCGTACTATAGTCGCCATATGATGTTCTGTATCATAGATATCATATGATCGTTTGCATCATAGTTACCATATAGTAACTAATTTAGACATGTTTCTCCAAGCAAATCTGCGATACATCTTGATAATATTGTTCGAATCTAATCTTCGGTATATTTGTCATTATTTTCTGCATCATTGAAGAATTATTACGTTTTCAATTTAATTGGAATTAATAATATCGATCCTTCAAGTCGAAGACACTATGGTTTTGGTATTTATTGAAAATCAGTCTATAATTCATCTTTCTGACTACTTAAAACTGTATATTACAAATTAAGTAGGACGGAATAAGTTTGACCCATAGAGTCGAAAGTCATTGAAGACTACTCAAAACTGATTCTATGTAATTAAGTAAGTTATCTAATTAGAATATTTCATGAATCTAAATCTCGTTATGAACTGCATTTTTGAATAATTTTATAAATTGATAAATATGTCATTTAATAGCGCTTTTTTCATGTTCAAATCTGTTTTTTTTTCTTTCTTAAATCCTATTCGATATGCCTAATCTAACATCTTATCATGCTCCACCTATTCATTTAAATCGAGAACTTCCAAAAACTTATTGTGATTTACGTCGACATGAAATTGATTATAAGCATTTCCTTCGTACACGTATTACAAATATTCAATCATCATTATCTTTCACAAATAAGAAACATTTAACAAGAATAAAGAATATTCAACGACATCGTAAATATTTCGATCATAGTGAACGTTTATTTCATGTCTATCAACGTAATTTACAATTATGTCAAAAAATTCTGCAAATTTGGACAAATAACGGTAAACAAAAAGGTGGTGTTGATTGTTATAATGAAAATTATAACAAACAAATAAAAATTTCTCATTTTCGTTTACGACAAAAACACTGGAAAGATAATATTGAAAGTGAAAATAAACGATTAATTCATTCATTAATGTAACACAAAATCTCTTAAATTCATATCTTCATAATTCATTCATTTTGTGTTCTTAAAGATATCATCGAAAGATATATCGACCAGTACATGATCGATACACAGCTTATGAAGCTTTTCAATATCATTTAAAATTACTAAATGCTATGTCGCAATATCCAAAATATAATACAAGTAAATTTCTTTATAAAATTCTACTTGATCATAATTATTTACTTGAACATATTTATTATACTTACATTCAATTTTATAATTTAGATTCAAATATTTCTTTACGAACTCAATGTCAAACTTTACCATTCTCGTATAAATTTCATAAAGAAAAACCTAATATAATCAAAACGAAATTTAATAAATCAATTAAACATAAAGAAGTTAAAACGAATAAATATATAGATAATATTTTACAACAAACAATGAATAATGCAATTCACATTTGTAAAATATAAATAATTATTTCGAAAAAATAATTGTCATATCTTTATATATTTGCAGATAATCAACCTGTTCCATCTGCATTTAATCGTATTAAATCATCATATTCTACAGATAGTCAATGGTTAAAACCACGTTTATTGAATCACACAGAAGTATTTCGATCACTTTCATGCCGTCAATTACTTGAACCTTGGCGTAATACGAAACGACAAAGAGGACCTTTAGGAAATTATACTATTAATGATAAGACGATCAATGAAAATTTGGAAAAAAAAACAACATTTAAATGAACAATCTTCTTTCATATCTTAATGAATCGATTCTCTTGCATTTTTCATGTGATTTCTTATTACAAGAACGTTGTTTGAAATGTCCATTTCATTCATTGCAAAAAACATATACTGAAAAAAATGTAGAATATTTTATATCGACCGATGAGACTTTTTTTTAATTGTTAATCAAGTCAAATTACATATATATAGTAATTTCTGCTTGTTTTAAATATTTTTGCCATTTTTTTTATTTCATTGAGAAATTCATCTAAAGTGTTCGTAATGTTGATCAATAAATAAATTGTGTCAAAAAGACATTCAGACAATAGAAAGAAAGTTTTTGAGCTAGTAAAATACTAGTAGAACACAAAATAACAGATGACGAAAAATATTAAAGACAAGAGTTTAATGCAATTCATTGTTTGATCCAACCTTACAAACACCACAAGTAAATTTCCTGACGAAAGAAACAGTTGGTGAAAATATTTCAAACAAGTAGAGATCATCTTAATATTTGAGATGAATTCAAACTACGGTAAGTGATATCGTATGAGATATACATAACTATATGAATTTACTGTCAAAGTATCGACATAAATATGTGCTTTAACTATATATATACAATTTAACTTTATTGACAACAAAGAAATCTAGTGGGTAGATTGGATATCTTGTTCGCTTTCATACTTTTAAATAAATTTTATTTAAGAAAAATTTCATGATATATCCGAGTATTGCATTGCACTAAAATAAATGAGAACAAAATCAACGAACAAGAAAAAACTTATAAAATTGAAGTACTTTTAAAGAAAAACAAAATCAATAATATATTTTTTCTCAAAATCGAGGGTCACAAAAGAAGAAATGAGTTAACGTCATTCAATCATTTGATTTATTTTCATTGAACGAGCAGCTAGTCAAAAATAGAAAAATAATGTTTAGAATAATAATGTTCAAAATTATAATCTTTCTTATATACATAAATATGTTTAATACAAGTCATTTTCAAGGTGGAACAATTACATACAAAATAATAAATACTTATGGATCAACAGTATCTATTATGATAACACAAACATATCTATACAGATGGTCATTAGTTTATTGTGATAATTCTTATATATTATCACAAAGCTCACCAAATATAAGTACTTTTAGTGAATATAATTATAAACTTAATTGTGTGGCAAATTGTACAACAAAAGGTGGCTATATAGCAGTACCAATTAGACCGTATTGTATAGATTATTCAGCAGCAATGTCTATTAGTACTACACAACGAACTGATATAGTTAATATTACAAGTGGAGCCTATTTTAAAGTTGCTTTTGTATCGTATGTTATATTATTCTTTTCAATTATTAATAATATGTCTGACTTTATTTTCCTACAGATCCGCTTGGCGAACATTAAGTTTACCAAAAGGAAATCCAGTTGACAAAGGTTGGAGTATCTCATGTACTATTGATCTACGTATACGATCGGATACAGGCAAGCCAAATACGCCTCCTGTTGCAAATATGATGTCACCTGTTTCGATTCCTGTTGGAATTCGACAATCACTAACTATACCAACAATTGATAGTGATAATGATGTAGTACGATGTCGTTTTGCTAATACAACAGATGAATGTTCGGATGTATGTCCACCAAGTTCTCTACCTAATAACACAATACTTATATCTTCAAATTGTACATTATTAATCACTGGTGCCAAAGTTAACGATTGGTATGCTGTAGCTATTCAAGTATGTAATAAATTATTATAACAAATAATAAACAATGTACATCGTCTTTATAAGACAACGAATTAGAGTAATCGATTGAGCTTTGTTTTTTTTTTGTCTAAAATTTAGATTGAAGATTTTAATTCTTCAAATTCGACTACTCCATTAAGTTCTGTGCCAGTTCAACTTCTTATCAATGTATATGCTTCACCTACCTGCACAATAACTCCTCATCTTTACGGCTCTAATAATCAAACAGGTACATGTAAAAGTATACAAGTTGGTCAATCACATTCAATGATACTTTATGCTGAAAATTATTGCTCGAATTATAGTGTTATTATTGAAGATATTGCTACTTTATCATTTCCAATTGTAATTAAAAGTAATCTGATACAGAATACAAGTACATTATATTCTGTTTTTTTAACATGGACACCAACTACAAAGCAAATTGGTTCACAAATACTTTGTGCCGTTGCAATTGATAGGTAAGTCTTAATAAATTAATCATTAATTTTTTTTTTTTTATTCAATTTAGTCAAAATGTTCAATCAAATCAATATTGTGTTGCATTCGTCGTTAGCACAAGTGGTACTCAAACATGTCCTGGAGAAGTATTAGAAACTTCGTAAGTATCAATACGAAATTTTTTGTTTGTATTACCATCATATACAAATGAATATTTATTAACATGCATTGAATAAAATTCAACTTTATCGAGCTAAGTAATTATTAATTATTATATTAAATATTCATATACTCTAGAATAATTATTTTATATCTCTAATCGAATAAATTAGACTTAGAATGTAATTTTCAGTTTACTCTCAGTTAAATTCTGAGAGAAATAAATAGTATGACAAAGTATATGACATTTATTACAGTTCAAGTGAGTACGTTTCAATGATGAAAGATTATGTTGAAAGTATAAATATTATTTGAGTGAGCAATGACGTCATTGTAATCGAATGAACTATTTACATAGACAGATGAAAAGGAATGTTGAATATTATATTTTAAAAAAGGTGAAATAAATATTCAGAATTAGTAAATCGATTGAAAATTGGTAATGATTTTTTTTCTTTGAAAAGTTTTCGGAAATTGTGCGTCTTTTGTTCATTTATATCAACACTCTTTATATTTTGATAAAAATATCAGTAATAATCTTATAATTATTTATTTCTGAATGATAACTATTTTTATGTGAAATATTTCTTTAAGAGTTTACTTCTTAATTATAGTATTTCTGAAGACAAACTTTTTTTCATAACTATATTTCCATAGAACATCATTATCATCAACAATAATAACTCAGGAAATATCTGATCAATCTTATTCATTTATTGATGATCTTACAACGTATATGAATGATGAGCAAAGTTCTGCAGATGACACATCATCAATAACTAGTACCATGACCATCAATACAACTACTTGTAAGTTCAATATAATACACTATTTAATTATCATATTGAATCTCGTTAAAGCTTCATCATCGAGTTCACTATCATGGCTATTACCTGTAATTATTGCTTTGGCTACAATATTGACGCTTTTATGTTGTTTATGTTTATGTTGTCCAGCACCTTAGTAAGAAACGAAAATAACTAAATTTAAAATTTATTTCGATTTCTTTCATTTTTAACAGTGGCTTAGGATTATTATATAGAAAACATCATCGTAATGTATCATCAGAACTGTTACCTGACGCTGATCGAATTAATGGACGACCAAGAATTTACACGATTTATAGACGATTCAAAAACGATTCCAACAGTACTAGTCGACGTACTAGTCTCACAGGAAGTCCAAGAAATACAACTGAATCTGATATACATTTAGATTTATATTCAAGAACATCTAGTGATAATATGAATAGAAACGAAAATAATGCTAGATGGGCTTATCCATCGCCAAGATTCTATGAAATAGAAATATCACGAGCTGAATATAGGAATGGTAACAACTATGTTAATCGTCAGAAAAATCTTGTACAAACATATTCAACATTCAATGACAATTAAATTGTTCATGATAGATCATTTTGTTTCTTTGTCATTTAGTAATCTACGATTCAATCATGTATTTTTTTCTACTATTAAAAGTTTTTGCTTAGTTATTTATTAATATTGTGTATCATTATTGTGGAAGAAAATCGAGATATTCTATAAGACTAATGTTTTACTGATTAATCATGACGAATTCAAATACATTTCGGCAAGATCAACTATAAATCATCTACATGCAGGGAGGATTCGAACTTTAAAGTGAATAAAGTAGAATTGAAAAGAGAATCATTGACGATGTCTGATCAGTATTGTGTACTCTGAACAGACGAAATCTTGTGTAAAAGATGTTAGTAGACTACCTCATCGATCAATCACCTCTATTTTCAATGAAATTTTGTCACAAAATTCACTGAGAATGTATTTTACTTGCTTCTATTGCTAATTTTCGAAATAAAAAACGATGTCTTTCGACAGAACTCAACAAATTCTATCGACCCCACCGATTTTGAGCACAGTTTACCTTAATGTTTGCAGCCGCTTTCTAGAAATACTGCATTACAGAATTTCATTAATATTCTATTTTTACAATGTTTTTAAACTATTCAACATTTTACAGTGTTCTTCTTAGTCAAAATTTCAATTTTTATTTTTGATATATAACTTCTGGGGTTAGCGAATATTCGGTTGGTTTTGACTCTTTTTTCTTTCATTCTCATCCAAACTGCGATTTTCAGAAAAAGGATGAAAATTCGAAACGAACAACAACTTTTTATAGAAAGTTTATTTGTATGCCACCAACTTGAACTACATAAAAGTCAATGAAATTTTTAGTGAATAAGTTGATCTAAATGGTTTCTATCTATATTGAAAATTTCAAAGAATTTACTTTTGTCATCAACGAGAAATAGATGTTACAATGTAAAAACAAATAATGTTTGACCATGCCGATGTATGGTTTCTCTTTCTATCATATACCTTGACAACGTTAGTGATTAAACTATCCACTCCTCTTATTTATCATCACCATCTGTCGTCCATATTTTACTATTCGTTAGTAAATAGCCACTATTGGTTTTCTCACATATTCGTGTCAGCTGAGTTCATTAAGATTATTTTATCGAAAACAAAAAAAAAAAAAATGGTTAAGACATATATTGCTGAATGGTTATATAGATTTCCTTGGTCTCAAGTAATTAGTGGTTTTTGGCAAAAATTTCCTAATCCATATACGTAGGATTCTTCTTCTTTTCTTTTTTTTTGATATTCAAAAATGAATGTTTTGTATATAAAGAGGTCATATTTTATCTGAAGATGTATTATATCGAACAATAACTAATGATCAAATTCTTATAACAATACGTTTATTAACTAAAACAAATAATATTCCACGTTGGGGTGAATTTCTTTTTTCTCGAGGTTCAGTATCGACAATTGCATTTATTATTGAAGAATCTATATGTGATTTAAAACAAAAAACATTTACAACTGTAACAAAAAATATTAATCTAAAATCTTTAATGGTAAATTTAGAACAAAAAACAAAAACAATTTATTGTTTTCTTATTATTTTATAGACTGTTGAAGAAACATGTATTTATCATCCAGATAAAAATAATGAATCAAGAACAATTTGTGAAAAAAAATTTATTGCAACATCAGAATTATTTGGTTTGAAAACAACATTAGAAACATTTGCAATACAACGTTATAAAAAAAATCAAGAATCAGCAAGTCTTGGTTTAGAATTTCTACTTCATAAATTATTTCTTCCACATCTACCATTACCATCTGTTATTGATACAATAACACCAGACACTCGAAAATTTTCCAGTAAACTAAGTGATAAAGCAAAACAATTCATGAAATCATCTAATAATGATTCATTTTAATTGTGATCGTATTTTTTTATTTTTTTTTTCTAATATCATCTATGATTTTCTAGTATATTTATTTTTTTAAATATTTTTTTTTTCTAATTTTTATACTTTAATAAAGATTTCTAATTTTTCTTACTTTCACATTTATAGATAAAATGCCTGAACTTCCTGGTCAGAAAAAAAAAATAATAGTAAATTTTGAAATTCTTTTTGTTTTATCTTTATTCTTTTTAAAGAAGTGGAATATGCTCGAAGATTATTAGCTCGTTTTTTAAATCATACACATATTACTAAAGTTACGTATCCGGATGCAGATGGTTTATCAAAACGTTTTATGAATTGTACACCGATAACATTTGCTAATAGTTTAGTTAATCGAAAAGTACTCGATATTAAACGACATGGAAAATATTTATGGTTTGAAATGGTCGATCAACAACCTTTAACACCAATATTTCATTTTGGAATGTCAGGAGGTTTTCGTATAAAATCCGCGCCTGATATTACTTATTCAAAAGAAATTAAACTTGCGAAAATGAAAGCAAAAAATGAAATCGATGGACAATGTGAATCTTTTGTTTATGGTAATTTCAATGAAATTTTTACATAGAATAAGAAAAGGAAAGCTCTGAATTTATAAGTTCTTTTACGTGGAACTCAAATCTATTTTCGAAGATAATAGCGAATGGAAGTTTACGTTGAGGTTTTTGCGGCTGCTCCTTCTTCAAAAAGTCTAGTTGTCGGGGAAGGGAGGTCAATGATAATTTCTTATGTTTCCATAGCATTAGAGAACAACAGGTGTCAAACTCTTTTCCCAGAGTTTCTCAACAACGGAGCAAGGCTTAAACTATTCTAGAACATTGTAAAGCCTTCCTCGGAATCTGAATGGCCGAAATATATTTTATGAATACTCGAAATAGTGTAGTTTTTTATTTTTGTACAGATAAAGATCTACATTCAATTAAATTGAAAAATAACGAGCGAAGAGCAACAAGGCAAATAAAAAATTAAGCGGCAGTAAAAAGAAAAAGAAAAAAAAATCTGCTCGAAATTCAGAAATATAATAAGACACTTGATGTACACTGATGAGCAAAAGTCTTCCCCTGTCCTTTCATTCTTTTCTTATCGAACTCCTTTGACCTCAGATGAATGTTGGTTACAAGAGTGACTTAAATACTGTATTTTAGTATAGTGTATGATTGACTACGACCTGCTTTAATGAAGAACGTATGTCATTCAATACAATCAGCTAACACTGCAAATGAAGTAGTTAATAGAATACTACTGCATGGTTGGATTTTTTTTAAAATATTTTCTGAATGTTTTACTACTTTTTTATTTGTAGTTGTATAATCAACTATACTGCATTCTAGAAAGAGTTTTGTGTCAGCGACGAAGACAGTTTAATGATTGAAACTAGTAAAATAATTAGCAGATACAAAGAAAGAGATAACCTAGTCGTGAAACATTTTGTCAACCAGCTCAATATTCTTCATTGAAGTAAACCATCATGAATCACACACTATATTACAATCAAATACTTTACTCATTCTTGTAACTAATATTCACTTGAGATCAATTTTGTCTTAGTATAATGAGGCTAAAGAATAGATGTAAGTTCCATATTTAAGTTGCAATGACAACTTTTATTTTTAATGATTTCATTTAGATGAAGAACTTGATGCCGATCTAACATGGCCACCTCGTTTTACACGTATGCGATTTTTAACATCAAATGGTCATGATATATGTTATACAGATCTTCGTAAATTTGGACGTTTTCATCTTGTTGATTCCAATTCACCACTTTCATGTCTTCCATTATCAAAACTTGGATTTGATCCTTATCTTCAAATGCCAACATATGAGAATTTTCTCAATTTAATTCATTCGTATCGACCATCATCTATTGAACTTAAAGCACTTTTACTTGATCAAACGTTTTGTGCTGGTATTGGTAATTGGATAGCTGATGAAATACTTTATCAATCACACTTCCATCCACGAAAACGTTTAAATATATTAAATAATGAAGAATTAAAAATTTTATATAAAAATATTGATTATGTAATAAGAACAGCTGTTGATGCTGGTGGTAGTCATAAATTTCCACGTGAATGGCTTTTTCATTATCGATGGACAAATAAACGAAAAACTGAAGATTATTATAAATTAACAATAAACTTTGATACTGTTGGTGGACGAACATCAGCTTATGTACCACAACGACAAATATTATCGAATAATGAACAACAACAAGTTAATCTAAGACTTGCTGCAAGAGAAGTTAAACGAACAAGCAAAAAGAAAATGAAAGAAACTAATGAAAATGATCAAAAATCGAATGATGATGATGATGAAAACAATGGTAAATAAAATTTTAAGTTTTAAGAATTCGATCAATATTGAAAATTATTTTTTATCATCTTTTAGAAAAAACAATTGTTTCAGATGATATAAAACTATCGACAAGAAAACAAACTAAACGAAAAACAATTAAAATTGGTAATTTTATTTTTATCTTTTTCATAAAATTGAATTTTTTCTATATTCAGACACAGAAGTAAATGAACCACCATCCAAGAAAAAAATATCATTAGCTCCAACTGTCATATCAAATCGACCACAACGAGCATGTAAACAGAAACCAGTTAACTATTATGTTTGATACAGTTTTTTTTTTCTTCAAACTTTTATTATCTATTTTGTTATTGTTTCAATTTTGTAATATATATGCTTGTCTATTCTCGACGTTGATGAACAATTCTAGATGGTAAATAAAGATAAATTACTAACTGCGGGTTATATATAGTCGAATAATAATGCATGAAAATTCAATTATATATTTAGATTTTCGTTTTAGTTTCTTTAGAAAGTTAATTATTATGTTGTACATCAACAATATTAAAAAAAAGTTTCATAAGCAACTGATATTTTGTCAGCATAGAAAGAAAAAAAGCATGCATCATGGAATGATGGTTAATGCTAATCAATTAAGAAATTAAATTAAGTGTAAAAGAGCATGAAGGCATTTTATCGTTTCATATGGTGAAGATCATTGTACGATAAGACGATGAAATAGTACCCTTTTTAGATTTAATTTCTTTTTCATCATTCATTTCTTTTGTATAAATAGAG